TTTTTTCTTGTCTCAATTTTCTCTTCAAATTTAATGAAATTTGGGGGATGTCAAACTTGCTGTATGGATGGATAAACTACTTGTCTTCCTTTTAATAATATTAGTCTTCGAAATACTTGTGTAAGTCTTTATTTGAATTGGACAATGATGGACTACATTGTCTTAAATGAATCGACAATGGATAAAATATGAACGTTTTATTTATTTATCCGTCAAACACCGAACAGTGGGGTAGTTTCGGTAAACTAATTCTCAAAGTGTGGCGTAGATCTATTTTATAAATTGTTTCGGTATGGAGGCGTCCTGAGACAGGCTCATGTTATCGGCCATCAAGCCATCGCATATAATTAATTATTTGCTTGGGGTCGTTAGCGGTGAAAATAGAATTAAAAGACAGAAAGGTTAACACATTGAAGAAAAAGGTGATGGGAAAAAAATTGATAAAGTTGACAATTTTTTGAAGAACTTAATTTATTTAATAGCGGAGTTTCATTACTGAAGTTGAATTGCTTGAGAAAGAAAAAATGTCCGTAGTTTTCGTTTGTTTAAATTATACTGGAGAATAACTCAGGGGTGGAGCCAAATCCAAAGTAGACAAGCAAGCTTGTTTGGCTCTCTCTCTGGCCAATATTGCATATGGAGATCGATATGAATCGGAACAGGACAACAACATTTATTCGTAATTCCTTTAGCTGCATTATATAAGAAGTAGTATTAGACTGAAGAAAAAATAAATATTGAATGGATTGTTGGATTCAAATTAACTCTAATTTGATATGTGAATTTTTAGCTTCTTTTAACTTTAAATTCTTTTCATTTATTATATCATTTATTATTCGTCTTTTCAAAGAGACTTAGATGGATAAAAGATTGGTTTGGTTTGATGAGACGAAAATCAAGCGTTACGGTTGATTAAACAGGGCGGAGCCTTACATGGGGAGAACTTTTGAATGAAGTTTTATTTGATCAGCAGTTCATTCTTTTATCTATCCATAGAAAGTGTTAATGCTCCTTTTAAAAAAAGAAAGGATCATTTTATAATTTGGTTGATGCAAAATTCAAACAGCTGAAAGGAAATAAATCAGTAACCCTATACGTGAAGGTTGTGGATATATACTTACACTTAGTTACTGCAATTTATGTCTTTTGCTTTTTACTTTAATCTGACATAAATCACAATCAAAACTATATTGTTTCGTTAAATATTATCGTTATGAAACTATAAAAATGAAACAAGAAATTAATAACATTCAACTAAACCATTTTAGCATATACTGATAATGACAGTATTTGTTATGCGCATTAGTTATGCTTTTAATTTGCAGTTACAGCAGTTGCAGTAATAGTTATATTTCCACAGCAATACTATTGATCTCGGCTATTCATCTGCCATCATTAAACAACATGCTCAAATTGCCAGCACGTCTAAAACAACATTATTCCATTTCGCTTGGTAATACGCAAGCTGCTATCGTTCTTCTTGCTCATGATAGAGAATGAAACGACAATGAATAGGGTTTGGTTTTAATTTTTTCTTTCTTTTCAATTCCATTAAATCTTTCTGCATCCTATGTTTTGTTGGATGTAATTAAATTTATATATGTTCCAGACTTGTAATTGAGACAGCTACATACGTTGAGTACAAATAGTTTTTTAAATGCAGGTAGTTTTTGATTATAAACATTGTGTACACCTAATATTTTTTTCTTCTCTAGAAAATGATTTACGTCAATTTTAGCTCATATACGTTACATATATTGTAAGGGTCTCATTATGTTCAAAATCTCGTGCAAAATTTTTTAACCCAAACTAGATCATAAATTTGGGAATTGTTTTCCAAAAATGAAATATTGAAATTTCAATTTTTGAACAACACCACAACTGAACATTTATCATAGGTGATGAAGGGCTTGGTATAATCATTATTGCACTAGTATTGAAGTTGTGTGTGTGTGTGGATGTGTTATTTTTTGTATGTCCATACGTTAATATAACTAGCCGCATATTACACGTGCACCATATGAACGTTTGACAAAATGGAATGAAATTTTTGATAATAATGGAAAATAAATTGGTTCTTTGTTTTTCACGAATATGCATTTGTAAAATTGCTATCCTTGCTTTCTGATCCTTTCTAGTTAGGAGCAAATGTTTTAAAGCAGAAACAGCTGGTTGTTCCGCGTCCGTATCATTATCACCATCATCATCAGCATCATCATCATCATCAACATCAACATTTAACATCAACGTGGTTGCCTTCTGTATAGCCCACCAAGCTTTTCCATTCTACCTACCAACTTCTCTCTATCACAATCGAACGTTAGCTATGCTATTAAGTTAATACATATCTCTTTGTTACATTCCTATCACAATGCTAATGTTCTCTCTGCTTCTTTGTTAATCAAGAAACAAATTACTTTGTCTGCATTGTTCCTTTGATTTTCTATAATGTGTAAACTTTCATCCATCATCAGTTAACGTTAGCGTAAAATTTTTTTATTTCAATTGACGCAATCCTAAAATTTGCTTGTTTTTTAAAGCAGGTTATTGAAATATGTTATAAAAATTAAATTATCATTTGAATGAACTCAATTTGCATATATAATTACGACTTGCATATATAACTATATTGCATTAAATTAAATTTTCTAAACGTCAACAAAAAAAAAAAAAAATTGCGTAGCTGTAATGAGGTT